TGTGTGTATGTGTGTGTGTGTGTGTGTTCTAATTCTGAGAAAAAACATGACTTGTATAAAGTGTGATTGAGAAGAGGAAGTGAAATTATCCGTCCGGATTATTTGAAGGAAGTTAACGTTAAAAGAAAAAGAAAGAAGGAGAAGCCTTGGCGATTTAGAAACGCCGGAGTCTGGGAGGCGCTGGGGGCAGTGGTCCGGAGAACAGTGAGCACGGGTCACGTCTGTGGGGAGCTCACCAAGGGCCAGGCACCGAGGTCCTGCCAGCCCGCTAGGCCGGTACTGTCGTCATCGTCACCGTGTCACATGACAAGGAAGCGTGGGTTCGGGCAGTGCTGTCGCAGCTTCCTGGGGTACGAGCACTGAGCCTGGGGTGTGTCGGGCCACTGCCTTGGGCACTTCCGACACCTACCTGCCTTGATTGTTTATGCAGGCGACCTTGTAGCAAAAGCTGGAGAAACAGGCTGGGAATAGACTGAAACGAAGGGAAAGCCTCGAGGGGGTTGCTTTCACCGCAGGGACCGAATGTCAGTTTTCATTGATACTAAATACCCAGGGAGTTCTAACGATATGCCAGATTTGGGCAATAGAATTAACTGTCACTTGGAGCCAGTGAACTCACAAAGCTAAACTCTGCCCTGTGTATGAAATCTAACAGCTATTGGCTGGGCAAGGCCCAATCCCTAGGGAGAAGCGGGGGGAGGGGGCAGGATTTAAGGTGACATTCGCTCCTGGCACCCCCGACCCTGAGGGTGCGCGCCTCCCACACTGGACCCTCTGTGTGTCGCCTCACCCCGGTCCTGGTCCGTGGCTGGGAAAGGGGCTGACCCTTGACTTTTTACAGACAGTAGAAAGTGTGAACAAGAATTTGTTTCCTATCTATTTCTGTTAAATAGAAGAGCTATCTTCCTAGGATGAAAAATAACCTTTGGTAACCCAAAGGGTAATCAGAAATATCAAATTAAGGAATTACCTATTTTACACAAAACTGTTTGTCACTATCTATGCAGAATGTGAATGAGTAGTTAGCTATGTTTAAGCAAATCATAAAGAAAATATTAACAACTAAAAAGGCCCTTCACCTGCCCTGGCACACTCGTCCTCGTCCTGCATCCTCAGGCAAGTGCTGCCGGCTGATGGGAAGGACCAGCCCAGCAAGAGCCCGGGTCACAATTCCGCAGGAAAGAAGCGAACGGAGAAGTGTGTGTCCGGAGACTCAAGATAAAGAACCTTAAAAATCTCTTTTACGCCGTGGCCAGTTTGGCTCAGCGGTTGGAGCGTCGGTCTGCCGTCCAGAGAGACCCGGGTTCGGTTCCCGCTAAGGGCATGTACCTCGGTTGCAGTTGGCCCCCGGCCCTGGTTGGTCGTGTGGGTGGCAGCCTCTCGATGTGTCCCTTTCAGGTCGATGTTTCTCTCTCTCTCCCCCCCTCCCACTCTATCTGAACAAAAAATGGAAAAATGTCCTCGGGTGAGGATTAAAAAAAGTCTCTTTTAAGTATAGGTTTTCCAGTAATACATAACATGTGTTCCTTTCTTAGAATTTGGGGTATAGCAGTGTTGTTGTTTTTTTCCTTTGGTTATAATGAAGTTTCTGGACAGTCCATCAAAACACAAATAAAATGAATCTATTTTAGGATTCCTTTGTGCCTGGCATTCATTCTGCTCTCCTGCTGTGCGGACTAAGTATGTAACAGTGAGAAGGAGTTGTCTTTGCCTGGAGGTACCTTAGACTATTTGTATATAAATAGACATTAGAAGAAAAATGAGCTTGAGCGGGTTGTTGGGCCCCTTCCCTTGCCGAGCACACTGGAGGATCACGCGGTTATAACAGCCGCGCCGGAGAGGTGTTGTCCAAGTGCAGCTAACAAACCCACAGGCCATCTTCAGATTTGCTGTTGAAAACGTGCTCTGTCTTCATAAGTTCTTCCGAGTATCACTGCAGTAATTTACCCACGAACAGGCCAGTAGATGATATATGAATTTCTGTTACGTAAATGACAAACCGGGGTGATCTGGGCAGGGCCTGGAACCCAGGAGTCGGAGCTAGATGGGACTCCCCGCACCCGGCGGGCCTTGCCCACTCTGTGTCCTTAGGCACGTCCTCACCCCAGCTCTCTGGGATATTCCTGTTCTGGGGTGGGAGGGTCCATGGGAGCGTTTTCTTTAAGAGGCAGAAGTCTAACCAAATGTAAAGAATTTCATTTTGACGTGTTCGTTTCTCCTTCTCCATGGTCCTTTATGAGCCTCTCCACTGTGCAGCGATAGACTCAACAGAAAAGAAAACAGAACAACTCAGAATTTACCCTGTATGACATTTGAAGCAGTCATATAATTTGTGTAAAATTGATATAATAGTATCCTAGTTGGAAAAGGTAAAAGGTTCTCTTCTTGTCTTCCTTCTCCCCACCGACCACTCCCCGAAGTCCCACGGCCTGCTCCATCTTCTTTCCCTGACCCCAGACATGGCGTTGCCCCCGAGCTCAACCTTCATGCAGCTTCTCTGCGTCATGTTCGGTGGGTCTCCCAGCTCTCGAGATGCACCTACTCACTTCCACACTCCTAACTCCAGCCCTCGACAGTGCCCTGGAACTCTCGTCTCGTGTATCCAGCCATCTCCCTCGTATCCCCACACAGATGTTCAGTGAGCTCCTCAAACTCAACACGGCCAAACTGCCATCCTCTTCCCAACCCAGCCCTCCCCACTCGGGGATTGCATGTTACAGCAGCACGTCATTCAGATCTCTGCTTCGCTGCACCCCTGCAGACAGGCCTTCTCTGTCCATCCATCTGAAATTCCCCCCACTTCCTGGTCTGCACCCAGGGCCCTTGCTTCTCTCCCCTTCCCACTCCAATAGAATAGGGATCCTCCCAGGCTTCCAAGGATGCCAGACTTCAAGGGGGGCTGAATAAATACTTATTGAAGGGAGGAACAAATAAACGAAAGAAAGGAGAAAAGAAAGAACAAAAGGAGGAAGCATTTTAACTACAATTTGCTAAAGACTGAGGCAGGGCAAAAGGAATTGCTGGGGATGCTGTCTCAAATGGTTGTTTTTTAAAATTCTTAATTCATACATCCCTATGAACTTTCTTTAGGCCTTTATTGAGGGCTAAAGTAGTTTAGGGATCTTGAGGGAAATTGTTAACCCTTGTGCAGTTTGGGGGTCGAATGGTAGTAGTTATTTGATAAAAAGGTACTAAGAATGAGTTCAGAGACTTGAATGCCGAACTCGATGATGAATGCTTCAATAGATTTTCAAAGCACAACAGAATGTTATTATTGCTTCCTAGCCATCGGAATCCGCGCTGAAGTTCCCGTCCTTCTTACCCTGTTGGCAATGAACGTGATGGGCAGAAAAGGCCTGACAACCTTTCCAGGTCTTGGCGTCTGGCTGGAAGGATGAATGATTAACAGGCCTTTGGAACTGACTTCTGAGCATTAATTTCTTCCACCAGGAGATCAGTAAATGACCCCTTCCACCTGCTGTCATCCAGATTTGGAATTGGGTTACATCACTGATTTTTGCTCCTGCTGGATGAATTTTGTGATCAGTCTCAAGGAGAAAGGAGATGGCATTTTGCATCACTGCCCTGCCAGCTTCTGTTTGCAGGGACAATTCACTGCGTCCAAATTAAACATCATGCGGTGTCATTTTCCCCTTTTGCAAATTGATGAGTTGGGTAGCCTCATGCTTATGAAACATTGCTTGCTGTTCTTTGGCCAGTATCTACATGGTGGTGAACTTGTGAAATTTTAGAAATAAAATCCCCACTGGCCACGGCAAGCTAACTAAAGAATCTACAGTGCCATCTGCTGGCATCCTAGGGGTATGCAAGCGATGTCTCGAAGCACCTCTTAGAAGACGAAAAGTTCCAAAGTGCAAACCTGAGGATAAAGTATTCAAAATGTGTGATAATTTGAAGAAAGCAGATATGAATAATGAAAGAATTATAAGCCTGTGGATTTGCTAGAGAAATGCTTAGTTACCTGGTTTGGGGCTGTGTTCATGTGTCAGGTTATTTGGATTCATCTGCCTTAGTGGTCAGACTGGCAACCAGGCTGGGGCAGGTGTAGACCAAATCCGATGCCCAGACATGTCCTGAATAACTTAGACACATTTTTAGAAACATTGAATTATTTGCCATCACTTAAAAATGCAGAGTTCTTGGTTTAAAAAAAAAGTGCAGCTTTCTGGCTTTTCTTTGAATATCGGAAAATCCAGCAGGATGCGTAACACTTGCCAGATGGCAGCTACCGACTGGAGGGCCTGCGCACCGGCTGCCTTCTCCGTTTGGGGCATCCAGACTCCTGTTGCTTGGGGGTCCCCTACTCCCCCAATTATTTCTCCTACAGCTGACTACCTTATTTACCTGGCCTGAGTGGCATTTGTGGTCCTAGGTCTATATTTTAATTATTATTTGCCTTCTTTTTCCCAGTTACATAAGAAACTTCTCAATGGTAGCAACTTAATGGGTAGTTAATAGTTCACAGAAATGGAAGGTAGTGAAGTCCATTCCTTTCATTTAATAGAGGTCTTACCCTGGAGTGAGTCTTTAATATGTGTTGACAAATGGTACGTGAGTGTGTTTCTAGAAAGGCAGTTGCTAGCCAAAAGAAGACTATAAATATCCTATAAAAATTTTCCTGGCTCACCGTGGCCAGTTTGGCTCAGCAGTTAGAGCATTGGCCTGTGGACCAAAGAGTCTCAGGGTCGATTCTGGTCAAGGGCACGTACCTCGGTAGCAGTTTGTCCCCGGCCCTGGTTGGGGTCATACAGGAGGCAGCCAATTGATGTGTCTCTCTCACGTTGATGTTTCTCTCTCACCACCCTCCTGCCACTCTATCTGAAGCTAAATGGAAAAATATCCTTGGGTGAGGATTGAAAAAAATTTTTTTTTCCTGGCTCTGTTAAGTAATATTGATGCTGGATGAACCTGTCAAGGGGGAGGGTCAGTTCTCCGTGAAGGTGAAGCTTCTTGGTAATCAGACTTGTTTTTTCTTCTAGGAACTGTCTTCACAAGTCCAACTCAGAGGACAGCTCTGTAGGTCAGTGCCACTTTTCTTGGTTTATCTATTTAAAAATGAATTATTTTCTTTTAATACTTTATAGAATATATAAATATAAATACAAAAACCACAAAGAAGCTGTCCGCCCTGAAATTGTTAAGATATAGATTCCTGTTTGTTTACTGCATGTGTGTGATTTAAAAAACAAAACAAAACATAGTTGGTATTGTGTTCTACATATTATCTTACTTTTTTTTTTTTTTTTTTAGTTGACTATGTCCTGAACATTTTCCCACATGATTGAGTATTCCTTACAGTAAAATTTTTACGTCTGCATGAAAATCTGCTCTATTGGATGTGCCATAATCTGATCGACCAATCGATGCTTTGCTGAATTTTTAGTTTCCATTTTTTCCCTTTATCACAGAGAAATGATGCTGTTGTAAAAATCTCTGAGCTCATCCCTGATCATGTTCCCGGGGTAAATCCTATGATTGGGAACTTTTGAATGAAAAATTGTGCACAATGAAGGTGTTATGGATTTTATATGTTCTTGGTCATAAAATCCACTCTTGATTCAGTAACATCTTTTCTGTTTGAGTCAGAGGGAGCCTGGCAAAGTACTTGTGATTAGGAGCATGATTTGGGTTTGAATCATGACTCTGCCAACTTAATAGTTATGACCTTGGCAGAACACTTGCCTCTCTGAACCTCAGTTTTCTCATCCACTAAGTGGAGATAATATACATCGTATGTTCATTGTGAGTATTAAATGAGATCTCAAAGTGCCTGGATAGAGTAAGTGTTTTATAAATATTATCATTTATATTTTAAGCCATACCTTCATTTCAGAAGCATTAAAATGGGAGGAGGGGGAGTACAGTTTACAGAGAAATACGCTGTATTCAGAATTGCCTGGAGAAAGGTTAAATGAGCAGTAACCCTACTTCTGCCTTAACCTGTTGTGGTTTAGCCCCGCGGCAGCAGGCTCAGAACGCGTGCCCAGGGAGGCTCCGGCTCGCCGGCGCTGGTCCGTTCCCACAGCCCGCAGGTTGTCAGAACCTAGATGAGCACATCTGTGTTGACAAGTGATGCCCTTTCCAGCCCAGGACGTGGCAGGGTTTCCACATGTCTGCTTTCTGCAGCGCTGCGGGCACCGCCGTCCAGACTGGAAACCTGCAGGGCCCCGCTCCAGGGGCTGTGGGGCAACCAGACGCCACGCGGGGACGAGCTGCCACTGTGAGGGTGCCGTCTGCACGGGCAGCGCGTGTCGCTCTGCCACTTCACTTTGTAAAGGATAAGGGGTCTGCCCTGGCCCGTTGGCTCAGCGGTTAGAGTTTGGCCCGCAGACCAGAGAGTCCTGGGTTCCATTCCGTTCAAGGAGACGTACCTTGGTTACAGTTTGGTCCCTGGCCCTGGTTGGGGTCGTGGGGTCGTGAGTCAGTCGATGGGTCTCTCACATCAATGTCTCTCTCTCTCCCTCCCTCCTTCCCACTCTATCTGAAGATAAATGGAAAATAAGTATCCTCAGGTGAGGATTAAAAATAAATAAAAAGAATAAAGAGTTACTCTGCCCTTTCATTTTACTCGCCTTGTATCCCTTTGCTTTTTATTTATTATTATTATTATTTTTTTAATCCTCACCTGAGGATATTTTTTCATTGATTTTTTTTTTTTTAAGATGGAGTGGAAGGGGGGGAAGGGGAGAGAGAGAGAGAGAGAAACATCTTTGTGAGAGAGACTCATCAATTGGTTGCCTCCAGCATAACCCTAACCAGGGCCAGGGATCAAACCTGAGCCCAGGTACGTGCTCTTTACCAGGAATTGAACGAGATCCTTCGGTCCTTGGGCTGATGCTCTAGCCACTGAGCCAAACCGGCCAGGACTGCCTTTGCTTTTTAAGCCATGCACATGTGGCTCAGTGGTTGAGCATCAACCATGCACCAAGAGGTCACCGGTTCAATTTCCAGTCAGGGCACATGCCCAGGTTGTGGGCCCGATCCCCAGTGGGGGGCATGCAGGAGGCGGCCAGTCGATGTTCTCTCTCATCGGCGTTTCTATCTCTCTCTCCCTCTCCCTTCCTCCCTCTCTAAAATCAATAAAGAAAAACATAATTTTTTAAAGTTATTACACAGTATCGATGATCAGAACTCTACAGGATGTTTAGAATGTCTAGCTGTGACCCTTTGGTTCCCCTTGAGAGTCACTCGTGTCAGCCTGGGAAGGAGAGGAAGGAGGGCGCCCCTTGGGAGCTGTCACGGCAGGACAGCAGGCTGCTCTTCTTGTCATCGTGCCCTGGCTGAGCTGGAGGAAGGTCACCAGGTGGCCTGATGCCGGAGAGCTGGGAATCCTGCCCCACCCATGGCTAGACACACACAAGCTCCGCGCTTTAGGAAACGGTGTGGAGCAGCCCCGCAGGCCCGGGATCCACCCTGCAGACCAGCGTGCACGGGAGGGCGAGGGGCAGCCCCGCAGCCCCGGGATCCACCCTGCGGACCAGCGTGCACGGGAGGGCGAGGGGCAGCCCCGCAGGCCCGGGATCCGCCCTGCGGACCAGCGTGCACAGGAGGGCGAGGGGCAGCCCCGCAGGCCCAGGATCCGCCCTGAAGACCAGCGTGCACGGGAGGGCGAGGGGCAGCCCCGCAGCCCCGGGATCCACCCTGCAGACCAGCATGCACGGGAGGGCGAGGGGCAGCCCCGCAGCCCCGGGATCCGCCCTGCAGACCAGCATGCACGAGAGGGCGAGGGGCAGCCCCGCAGGCCCAGGATCCGCCCTGCAGACCAGCATGCACGGGAGGGCGAGGGGCAGCCCCGCAGCCCCGGGATCCACCCTGTGGACCAGCGTGCCCGGGAGGGCGAGGGGCAGCCCCGGGATCCACCCTGCGGACCAGCGTGCACGGGACGGAGCAGCCATTCTCTCCTCCCTTCAACCTGGGGTAACAAATAAATCAAGGGTAGATCAATAACAAGGATAACAACAAAACAAAGTAAACTTCTTAAAGTATCCCGTTTGTGGTTTGGTAGAAACAGTCGTGGCCGATACCAGAGGGAGTGGGAGACGAGTCACAGGGCAGCATGAGGCACACACACTCCGGACATCGAAGAGGCCAGAAGGACACATGCCCTGTCTGCCTTTTTGATGTTTTCTTCTTTCTCATCTATCCCTACTGCAGCATTTCCTGCTCCCAGGAAATTTGCATTTCTTTTAAACAACTTTATAGGCATTCCCGAGTCTTCTCACAAACTGAAAGGGAAAAACTGTCTGAAATCAAAGTCGTCTTATAAGCTTTGAAATATAAGCAAGAAGCTACTTTTGTTATTAATGAATTTATTGCTTGTGTCTCTTTTTAAAGGAAAAGGAGATTGGAAGAAGAAAAATAAGTATTTCTGGCAGAACTTCCGAAAGCACCAGAAAGGAGTAATGAGGCAGACTTCTAAAGGTAGGGAACGCGGCCGGCGGGCGGGGGGCCTGCGTTCTCCGGAGCTAGGAAGCCTGTGTCTGATCTCAGTGGTGCTGCAACCTAGAATAACTCATCGCGTGCGCCCATAAAATGTTCAGCTCTCTGACATTTCTTTCATTACTTTAAAACTTCATCCCAGTGGGAATTTTTTTTTTAATCAAAGAAAACAGAATGAGAAGAGTTGGCAGGATCCTCCCCCCCCCCATTCAGCCAACAGCCAACAGCAAATTGTTGTTTTCTCCACATGCCAAGCTCAGGAACATCTACCCTAAAAGGGTCTAGCGTTCATTAGTTTGGGACCGTCCCCCCCGCCCCACCACTTGGGGTCTTATCAGTCTCCTGAACTTCTGATGCCGGCCTATGGCCGGGACAGTTCCTGGGCGGTTGCCCCTGGAAACTCTATCTAATGGTATGACATCATGGGAATGTGCCCGGGCTGCTTTGAGAAGGAGCCCTGCCCTCCTCCTGGCTGTCTTGTTTTTGTTTATGTAGTAAGTAAATATGTCATCCCTTTGAAGCCCAGTTACATAATTTATGCTTCCCCGGCATCCAGAGGGGCCATGGAGACACAGCTACTTCCAGACTCCGGTCCTGCTGACGCAGGTTATCATTAGGTGAACATTTTTAGTTGCTCACCAGTGGCATTCCTTGATTTCCTTTGCAACATCCTAGCGTCCTGCCCTTTCCAGAAGGCTTTTCTACTTTTTCCATGCACAAGGAAATGAGGAGAGTGGGTGCAGACCGAGTGCGTGCCATTGTCCACGCCCTCAGCGGACCTGGCTTCTTCGGCAACATCTGGTGGGGTTACTTTCTAAATCCGTCCTGCTTAAAGCGAGTTATTCTTAAACAGTCTCTGTGTTTCCTCCGGTACACACCCCAAATGACTAGGGATTCAGAGTAAACCTTGGATTCTAACAGTCTTATTTAGAAAGAAATAAAAGGAGAAACATAAAGAGAGACAGGGACGGAGGGGTGAAGGGAGGGAACCGGCAGTTAACCAGCTCACGTGGATTTATTTTAAAACCCAACCAACTTGCCAGCACCCCGCCCCCACCCCGGAGGTGCCACAGACAGCGAAATGAATCAAGCCAGCAGACTGGTCCCCTCGCCCGCGCACTGTTATTCTTCCCCTGCAAGGAGTCGCGCGGCACGGGGAGCTCGAGTGGTATTTCTGGACTGATTGATTACAAAATGGAAATGAGATAGGGAAACACAGGGGAACATCAATTGAAGGTAGGTCCTGACTAAAGGGTTCTGCAAGTGTGCAGCCAGCCTGTCTTCCTCTGTCCCTTTACACCGAGGGCAAATTAAGCTGTAGCTGAGCATCCTAATGACACCGAAGCTGGTCAGGAATGTATGGGAAGGCAGGGCAGACGGAGAGAGATGAGGGGCTCGACGGAGGGCTTATTCCCAGTGTGCGTGTTACCGCCCGCCCGCCTGACACAGCTTCACCCAGGGGCCGACCAGAGGTGCACAAGCTAATGTGGCTCACGTATGTCAGAGGCGTGGGCAGTCGGTTTACTTTGCAGGAAAGCCCTTTCGAAGAAACCTAATGGGGATTTTCCTCTGCGCTTCTGGCTGCCTTCAGTTTCCAGTTGGAAGTTGAGCTGCCCTCACAGCTTGGAAACATTTATGCCAATAACACTTTCAGATAGATACATATGTAGTACCTTCCTTCCAGTGACCCCCGCATGCTTCACATCTGTGATTTTGTATCTATTGCACTGACTCTGGCGAACAGCATTCAGATAGCTGAGCAGGGGTGCAGGCTCCTCAGGCCACACTGCAGCTGGCTCTGTGACCTTTCTGTCACGCAGAGGGTTCCCTGCCACTTCTTCCCAAGATAATTTTCTTCTCGTTCACATTCACAATGGGAGGATCTAGGGAGCCCTCAGCCAAAGAAGCCTAGGATGCTCGTCACCAGTGCTCCGATCCTTTTGGAGGCTTTATTTCATGGTAACATCCATGCATGTTATTGGTGCCTGTTTCCCCAAGGAGACAGGCATGGCTTCCCGCAAAGCAGCCCATGACTGCTCCCGTTGCTTTGTCACGCCGGGCGACACGGGACGCGCCCGCGTCCTTCCTTAGTCCTGGATGATGACCTTTCCTGGTTGCCCGTCTGGTTTATCTTGTTTTTATTCCCGTCATTCCTTTTCTCCCATCTCCAGGAGAAGATGTGGGCTATGTCGCAAGCGAAATAACGATGAGTGACGAGGAGCGGATTCAGCTGATGATGATGGTCAAGGAGAAGATGATCACCATCGAGGAAGCACTGGCCAGGGTAAGCGTGCGTGCAGGTACCTGGTTCCCATGTGTGGAAACTTGACCTCCTTACCCTGACAAGGTTTGGCGCCTGCTGTGAACGGAACGTTTCTGTCGTCCCCTGGCCAAATCCTAATGCCCAAGGCGATGGTATTTGGAGGTGGTGCCTTTGGGAGATGATTAGGTCACGAGAGAGGAGCCCTCATGAGGGGATGGATGATGTTATACAAGGGGCCCCAGAGAGCTTCCTCACGCCTCCACCGTGTGAGGACATGGCGAGAAGACAGCTGTGTGTGTGACCCAGGCGCGGGGCTCTCACCGGCCACTAAATCTGCCAGCACTTTGTTCTCGCACTTCCCAGCCTCAGGAGCGGGGCTTTCTGTTGTTTGTAAGCCGCCCCGTCTGTGGTGATTTGTTACAACAACGAGCACAGACTGAGACGGAGGCATCGGAAAGGACAGGAATGTATTGTTCACAGTAGTATTGATGATACTGAGGTAGTCACCAGGTCCCCATCTTCTCAGATAAAATGTCGGTTCCATTCCATTTCCTTAATATAAGCATTCCGTGCTGGGAGGTGAAATTTCCATATTCAAGGAATACATGAATGAACGAATGAATGGCAAGTCTATCTGGGCTGTGGACCAGTTTAATGTGGACGATGACTCCGTAAATGCCATTACAAAACTCACAAGCCATGAAAAAAGACTGATAAAAATGTAATACATGATCAGAATTAGTAAGTAAAAACTAAAGAAAAACTAAATATATGACAACCGTTATAAATATCAGTTCAAGATACCTTCACAAGTTAAATTTTGAATAATGTAAAACTTCAGCTCTAGATATACCTTTACATTTTGCTTACTTTCATTTCTAAGTAGACATTAATTGTAGGTTATCGTGTCCTATATTTTGCTCTGAGTTACATTAGGCACTAAAGGAAGCTTGATTAACCTGTAGGACACTGGGTCACATTTATGACCGCGAGATAGTGGTTATTAAGAGATCTTCTACTTTGTTGTTCCCCGACAAACAGACTGACTGATTCTAAGATTTTCAGTGAGAACATTGGTTGGTTACTGTGGGGACAAATCATAAATTAGGCAGGTTTAGAAACTAATGAAAACGTTCAAGTCACGACGGAGCCATTGAGTGAGTCCAGGCCTTAGCATCGAGGAGAGGTTCAAGTTCCGTAACCTTGAAACAGTGACGGGCACACTGAATTTAGTTGAGTATACCTGACTCAAAACTTCAGTAGTTTAAAGCTGCGACCATGTTAAAACAAACAGGCAAAAACCCGTGAGGGACACGGAAGGCGGGCTGGGTTTAGTAGGAGACCTGAGCGCCAGCGCCACCCCCCGGTGCCCCTCTGCCAGCTTCTGCTCTGTGGGTTCGTAGGGGCAGAGGGGCCTCGGCCTCCAGCGTCTCTGGTGGACCGGAGGAGAGCTGGGCCAGTGATCGAGCAGGTGACAGGTGGCAGCCTGCTGTCCATGCTGCCCATCACCCAGGCCTGCACCTTCACCCTCGGCCTGCCTCCCTGCTCACCTCACCTTCAGCCACGCAGCCTCGCGGCCAGCTGGGGCACAACGTCCACCATGCCTGTTCTCTCCAGTTCCATTTCTTCAATATGCCAGAGCATCTGGGAAAAGTCCATTTGAGGTCCCAGAAAAGGCATATGAGAAATATGGACCCGTAGTAAATAGTTCACCATGACAGGCAAGTCACCTCTGAGGAGCTGTGTTACTCTACTCCTTTTTAAAAAATCATGAAACTAAAGATCTGAATGCACAAATGCCCAAGGTGGCCTGATAACATCTGTGTTTGGAAGGGAGTTGCAGGTGATGTGCCGAATCCGGTATCCTTGGAGCAGAAGAAAATGTTAATGATGGCCTTAACGTAGTCCATATTAGGGAGCATGGCTTTATAATTGAAAAAGAAACAAAGGAATACTTTCAGAGTTGGAAGAGGACAAACCTGAAGCTCTTTCTGAGCTCCTAATTTCAGTAGCCAGCCATCGTTCAGGTGGAAGGGAAAGCAGAAGGCAGCTCCATGCAGGGGTGGCCCAGGTGTGCTGGGCTGGGGAGGTTTCAGCCATGCAGCCGGGCTGTAGCCATGTCGTCTGCCTTGACCAAGTTTCCCAGCAGAGCTCATCAAGAGAGGAAGAATATTTTCTATAAAGCAATCCAGAAACACGGAAGCCAAAGTTGATGACATTCTCCAAATGTGACTAGATTCTGCCTACGAGATAGGTGTCCAGTGAGAGATGACGTGGCAGGGGCAGCTGTGGTCAGCTTCGGCTGGGCAGCATCCACCCTTAGCTATGAGTGCCTGGATGGCTGCTTTTGGGCCAAAGACAAATCACTTCAAGAAAAACGTTAGGGCAGAAAGCAGTCTGTGGAAAGAATATTCTTCCTGGGAAGTAGGACCAGCTCAATGATATACATTTACTTCATTGCTGTATAAAATCAACATTAAGACTTAGACCTCTGCCCTGGCCTGTGTGGCTCAGTTGGCTGGAGCATCATTTCATACACCAGAAGGTGACAGGTTGGATTCCCAGTCGGGGCACGAACCCAGGTTGTGGGTTCAATCCCCGGTCGGGGTGCGTGTGGGAGGCAACCAATCGATATTTCACTTCGATGTCTCTCCTTCTCTCTCTCTTTTTTTTTTTTTATCCTCACCCGAGGATATTTTTTCATTTTTTGTACAGATAGAGTGGGAGGGAGAGAGAGGAAGGGAGAGAGAGAGAAACATCGATGTGAAGGGACACACAGAGTGGCTGCCACCCACACGACCAACCAGGGCCGGGGACAAACTGCAACCGAAGTACGTGCCCTTAGCGGAAACCAAACCCGGGTCTCTCCGGACCGCAGGCCGACACTCTAATCGCTGAGCCAAACTGGCCAGGGCTCTCCTTCTCTCTTTCTTTCTCTGAAATCAATAAAGTAAAAAGGTTGAGACGTCTTATAATGACCATGATGCGAGTAGTCCTCCAGGACAGCAGGGGTGTTTCTCCCACTGTCAGAGACTTGAAGACCCGTGCTAGGCTTTGGTCCTATAGAGTCACCCAACACCAGGAGAGCAGTTTGTGCCGCTCGGAGCTGGCGTGTCCCCCAGCACATCCTTGCATTGGGAGTCTTGGCTGTGTTCCCATGACGTTGGACCACTATGCTTCGTTTATATGCACTCGATCTCGTTGGTGGATAATTTTGCACTGTGCAGTGGATAGCCACGACTCAGGCCCCCGAAAACTCAGCTAGCCAAAGAAACCGAGATTCGAGAAGGAGGGCTGCGAGGGGCCAGCATGTGAAACACACTGTGAACTGCACAAGCGTTTGAAGAGAATGAGTTTATGAAACAACTCACAGTGGAATAAAAAACATTTTTTTTTCTTTATTGATTTTAGAGAGAGAGGAAAGGTGAGGGAGATAGAGATAGAAAAACATCTATGAGAGAGAACATCGATTGGCCGTCTCCTGCATGCCCCCACTGGGGATCGGGCCCACAACCTGGGCACGTGTCCTGACCAGGAATCGAACCTGCGACCTCCTGGTGCATGGATCGGTGCTCAACCACTGAGCCACACCGGCCAGGCTCACAGTGGATTTTTTGAGTGTGTAATTTAAAAATACTGCAGCTTAACACATTTTTTATATTTTACTGACTGAATAACTGAAGTTTCATCAAATCTAGTGGCATTTCATACATTTTCTAATAGTTTTATGATGGATACCTAATACATTACTTTAAGGAAGTCAAGCTCTTTAGTAAAAAAATGTTGAGGGGGATCGAGGTTAGTGGTGTGTTCTAAATGACACAGTTTGCAGGTGCTAATTTGAAGAGCGTACCTAGCTCTTGGCGTGTAAGGTCAGGGTGTGCAAATCTACTTGTTCTGGGAGGGTTAGAAAGCCCATGAGGTGTTTGGAAACCATAGGTTATTCATTAATCTGGGTAGATTTTTTGGTGTGTGCGTGAGGATGGGAGAGTATGCAATAAACTCATGTTTATAGCTTTGGGTGAAGGAGAACACTTATTTTGGAGTGATGGTGCTGGCAATGATGGAACTATGTAGTAGAGAAATATGTCCGTTGACATTTTAACTGGGAAAAAATAGGGAGATCTATGATCATCATTTAATAGTCATATTATCTAAAAAAAATAATATAATAGTAAAGACAGTTCATGTAACTTCACCTAGTTACTGAATATTATATTCCCATCTGATACATATGTGTCTGGTTCCACAAGGTCACATCTGTGAAAATTCGAAGTAAAGTCCTTACAAGGTTAAAAAATTTTTTTTTCTTTATTGATTTTAGAGAGAGGAAGGAGAGGGAGAGAGAGAAAGAAACATTGATGAGAGAGAACATCAACATTCTGCCTTCTGCATGCCCCCCACTGGGGATCGGGCTCACAACCTGGGCCTGGGCCCTGACCGGGAATCGAACTGGCGACCTCTTGATACATGGGTCGATGCTCAACCACTGAGCCACACTGGCCAGAACTAGGACATTTTAAACAAATCGTGTCTTGGCCAGTGTGGCTCAGCAGTTAGAGCGTTGGCCTTCGACCAAAGAGTCACAGGTTCGATTCCAGTCAAGGGCATGTACTTCGGTTGCAGTTCAGTCCCTGGCCCTGGTTGGGGCCCTGCGGGAGGCAGCCAGTCGATGCGTCTCTCTCACATCGATGTTTCTCTCTCTCTCTCTCTCCCACTCTGTCTGAAAATAAACGGAAAAATATCCTTGGGTAAGGATTAATAATAATAATAATAATAATAGTAAATTTAAAAAAAACGTCCTAGATGTTTGTCACTGAGTTGACTGATGTTTGGCTTTGAGAACTTTTCTTAATGCCGGTGTCTTACATCAGCTTCCTGGAAGGAGAGCCTGAGATGGGGATTCTTGTGCACGTGGTTTATCGAAGGATAGCTTTCAGGAGAAACTTCTAAGTGAGAGAGGGAAGGAGGACAGGCAGAGAAAAACGCTGGACAGAGATGGGATTTCAGGAGAAGTCTAGGCTCAGCCTGATTGCTGAGGGAATGGGGAGCCCTGGAAGGTGAATTACAGTCTAGAACTTGTCCTGCAGGAGAAAACCGGGCTGCCAACACTGCAGAAACTAGAGAACAGGTGAATAGTTTTATAAAGTGAGTCAGGACATCTGGTATACCAGAGTGCACCCTTATGAACTGGGAACCTGTATATGTTTTTGAATTATTTCCTTGTAGCAGCTATTGAGCATCAGTCACAGTGATTTGGACAATTAGAGAGGCTCATGGAGAGCAACAAAGTGATTGAGGTTTCCTTTTAATAGGTCTCATGGGGTGACATTGGAAAGGATTTATTTCAGAGAAGCAGCAGAAAAGAGTTTAATCACTTTTCTCAAGTATATGAAGGATTATTAAACAGTACATCTTCAGGATGTACTGAAGAGTGTTTTATTTTGTTTTAATCTCAACTGAGGACAGAATAAAGGGAAATACAATTGCAGCTGGAGGGGATTTAGAGGAGACGGAACACAGACGTTCTTTATAACAAGCACTCTTAGACATGGGAACATTTGAGAACAGCTCTCCCTGAAGGTCTCTAAGGTAGAATAAGCATTACTCTATTAATGATGCCATTCCCTCTAAGAATTATGTCATAGACTTTAAGAGTAAGAAAACTAGAAGTCTGGCTGGTGTGGCTCAGTGGATGGAGTGTCATCCCACGCACTGAGAGGTCCTGGTTCGATGCCCAGGCAGGGCACATGCCTAAGTTGCAGGCTCGATCCCCAGTAGGGCGTGTGCTGGAGGCAGCTGATCCATGTTTCTCTCTCACATTGATGTTTTTATCTCTCTTTCCTTTCCTCTCTCTCTAAAAAAAAATATCAAAAACATATTTTTTAAAAGGAAAGAAAACTATAAGATGGGAAAATAGGATGTGAGGGGGAATTTCCTCCAGACAGAGAGACAGACACACACTTTCTTTTATTTATTTATTTTTCATCATCACCCGAGGACATTTTTTGCATTTATCTTCAGATAGAGCAGGAGGGAGAGAGGGAGAGAGGGAGAGGGAGAGGGAGAGGGAGAGAGGGAGAGGGAGAGGGAGAGGGAGAGGGAGAGGGAGAGAGAGAGAGAGAGAGAGAGAGACTCAATGTGAGAGAGACACGTCGACTGGTTGCTACCCACCCGACCCCAACCGAGGCCCGGGACAAACTGCAACTGAGGTACGTGCCCTTAGCGGAAACCGAACCCAGGCCTCTCTGGTCCGTGGGCCTATGCTCTAACTGCTGAGCCAAACAGGCCAGGGTGACAGACACACACTTTAAAATGTCATCATTTAACAAATTCAGGAATGAAACTAAAACTATAAATGTGCTTTAAAATACATAGATTCTCAAAAGAAATTATCAGTTGTCTTGCCTTCATGAAATTATATTTAAGTGAAAACTTCTCTAGGAGCAGAGTGGAACATACAAGTATAATTATATAAATAAAGTCAGGTGAGTTTTTTTCCTGTGAAATGTGCATTAAAAATTTTTTCGAGGTGGTATTTTGTAACAGGATCTCTAATAAAACACATAGCATGTTGAAATTAGAATAATTATAAAAGTAAGTGGCCAGCACAGATTTGAATCTACATCAAAAGAAATACAAGTATTCTTGGCCTCCAAAGTAAATGATGAAAATGGACAAATAGCAGAATAAAAATATTAATTCTATTTATGATTGACTAGGAATTTATTTATTTATTTTTTCTTTATTGATTTTACAGAGAGAGGAAGGGAGAAGGAAAGAGAGATAGAAACATTGATGGAGGAGAACATTGATTGGCCGCCTTCTGCATGCCCCCCACTGGGGATCGGACCCACAACCTGGGCATGTGTCCTGACTGGGAATCGAACCGGCGACCTCTTGGTGCATGGGTCGATGCTCAATCGCTGAGCCACACTGGCTAGGCGGAATTTGTCTTGTTTTTAATATATTTTATTTTATTGATTTTTTTTTTTTTCTAATAGAGAGAGGAATGGAGAGAGCGATAGAAACATTGACGTGAGAGAGACACAGATCAGCTGCCTCCTACACACCCCCCACTGGGGATTGAGTCCACAACCAGGGCATGTGCCCTGACCAGGAATCAAACTGGGGCCTCTCAGTCTGTGAAATGACGCTCAATCCACTGAGCCACACCAGCTGGGCCACACCAGCTGGGCATTTGTCTTGTTTTTACAGGTGAAGTTGAGTGACTCCTAGGAGTCAGGGCTAAGGTTGAGTATAAAAGTAGAGGATAGACCTGGAGAAATCAAGAGGTAAGCCCATGGTTCAGCTGGCTGCTGTTCTGATAATACCGTGAACATGTCGCATTGCAGAAACCAGCACATCTGGAGGAAGGTGCCTTCTAATATACAGTGTACACATACTACACAGATTAGACCAATACTAATGCCCTGATGTACCAGAAAGATAGAAATGAGATTAGTGCCCCTGTTAGCAAAAGTACAAATAGCTGGAGTCTGTGTGAACTTCAAGCTCTCAATTATCTGAAATCACAGGGTGGTGGTAATAATGCTATGATAAGAAAGCCTGGCATAGGTGCAGTGTCATAAGAGCTTTGCTGTATTATCTTAATTCTGGTAACAGTCCTGTGAGGGACTTACTGTCATCCCCATTTTCCTGATGGAGGGACTGAGGCCCCCGAATGCATCATAATTTGCCCAGGGGCTCTCAGCTGGTATTTGGTTGTACAGCTAAGCTCTTGCCCATTCATCAAAACTGTCTGCCCCCCTCTAGTCCACCTCCTGTCACGTGTGCACACGAAACAGAATTTCATAGTAGAAGTAATTGCTTTGGGAAGTTGCTAGAAGGGGATTGTCAGTTTGGTGGCTTTGCCACCACACCCACGGAGCCCCGGTGGCTGAGGGCAGTGCTGGCAGCATCCCCTGGGCTGGCGGGTCAGATCGCGTCTGGGTTTTGGTGGCTTTCTTCATGGAACATGACTTGATCAGTGTCTTAAATTCATATATAAAAACTGATTTATAGTAGAATTTTTGTGCCATGACAACGGCATCAAGTATTTCTATACTAGTTCACTTGTCTTTCTGTGTTTTTTTAAAAAAAGTAGAAACCTAGTTTCGAAACACCAACTTTGAATGTCTGCACATATTCTCGATTCTTGTTCTTGTCCTGTCATTCACAAGGGTCCCCAGTAAATCCCATTGTAGTTTAACATTTAGGTGATAACATTGAACTGGTAACTTAAAATAGTCTAGGACAAGAAAAGCAAGTGATTTTTAACAATCAGTTTCAGGCTCCTGTCTCTCTTTTGCTCAGATGTTCAGAGTATACCACATTGTGTCTTCTACCAAGAGAGGAAGTTCACAGGATGAACTATAGACAATTTTTGTTTTGGAGCTTACAGCTGAACTGTGAAAGATGATTTGTAAAAAAATTTAATTGATATTTTTTAGAGAGAAAGGAAGGGAGAGTGAGAGAAAAACATCGATGTGAGAGAGGAACATCTGTCGGCTGCCTCCTGCACGCCCCCTACTGGGGATCGAGCCTGCAACCTGGGCATGTGCCCTGACCAGGAATCTAACCGGGACCTCTCAGTCCATGGGACTAGGCTCAATTCACTGAGCTACGCCAGCCAGGTGAAAGATGAGTTTTGATGTTGGTGGAGGGGAGACATCGAAATTCTTTTTGAAGTACAGAATACAATACAAAGAGTCGGTTTTGTCTATTGGTTTAATTTAGATGAAAACCCATAGGGCAGGGCATGGGTTTTTCTTTTGTTTGTTGTTTTTTGTTAATCCTTGCCTGAGGATATTTTTTCCCATTGATTTTTAGAGAGAGTAGAAGGGAGGGAGGGGATGGCAGAGAGAGAGAGAGAGAGAGAGAGAGAGAGAGAGAGGGAGAGAGAGGGAGAGAGAACGAACATCGATGTGGGAGAGACACATTGATTGATTGCCTCCAGCACATGCCCCAACCAGGACCGGAGATTGAACCCGCAACCCAAGTATGTGCCCTTGATCGGGAATCGAACCCTTTGGTGGTCAGGTTGATGCTCTAACTGCTGAGGCACACCGGCCAGGGCTCTTGGTTTTGGTTTTTAGAACCTTGTCTTTGCTGGCACTTCGCATTAACATTGGCATAAAGAGGGTGCCAAAGTGTTCTCTCTGCGGTTTGGTAGCTGACGTTGGCTTATTTCCATTTTAATCTTCTGCTTCCTCCTGCGGCAGCTCAAGGAGTACGAGGCCCAGCACCGGCAGCCCGCCGCCTTGGATCCTGCCGACTGGCCAGAAGGCTCTTACCCCACGTTTGATGGCTTATCAAACTGCAACGTAAGTTTGCTCCCTCTGAGCACCCTGAACACCTCTGGCAAAAAGAGACGGCCTGCCCAGCTGGCCTTGTGAGTCCTTCCAGCGATGCTCCGCTCCCACCAGGATGTGAAAGTGTCTGTCTCTTTTCCTTTACTCAGTAGAAACTCATCTTGTCAGAAGAGTGCTATGTGTGCTGTTTATGTCTAATTGTAGTAATATGTACATAACTTAAAGTTTACCACTAGAAGCATTTTTAAGGGTTCAGTTCGGTAGCAGTAAGTCTGTGCACGTTGTTGTGCAACCAGCACCACAGTCCATGCGCGGACCTTGTTCGTCGTCTGAAGGAGAAGCCCCGTAACCGCTGGACCGAACTCCCTGTCTTCCTCTCCTCGCAGCCCCTGGAGAACCAGTCCACCTCCAGGCTCTGAATTTGACTCTTCTAGGTACTCATAGGAGAGAAATCATAAAATATTTGTCCTTTGTGGTCTGGTTTATTTCCCTCAGCACAATTTTTTCAAGGTTCCTTTTTGTTGCAGCAAATACTTTATTCCTTTTGATGGATGAATGGGTGGAATACCGATTCTACTGCACATAAAACTGCATTTTGTGTATCCATTCATCTGTGGACACTTGGATGTTTCTACTTTTTGGCTATTGTGAGCAATGCTGCTTTGATCTGTTTGAGTCTCTGCCACCCATTCTTTTGGGTATATACCTAGGGGTAGAGTTTCCGGATGATGAGGTCATTCTGCGTGGAACTTTTGATGAGCCTCCATACTGTTTGCCACCGTGGCTGTACCCTTTCTCATCCCGGCAGTAACGCGCGAAGGTTCCAGGTTCTCTCCCTCCGCTCCAGTGCTCCTGATCTTTCTCCCTTCTTTCGGATAATAGTCACCCAGATGGGTGTGAACTACTGTCTCACTGTCATTTTGATTTTCATTTCCCTGATGACTAAGATGATGAGCATCCTGTTATGTGGGTATTGGCCATTTGTATATCCTCGGAGGAATATCTGTTCCAGTTCTTTGCCCATTCTTGAATTGGGTTGTTTGTTTTGTTGTTGGATGTTAAGTTGTGGGAGTTCTTTTTATGGTCTGGGTATTAATCTCCTATCAGGTACATGATTTGTAAATATTTTCTTCCATTCTGTTCGCATGTTGATTTTTGTACCCTACAACTTTGATACATTTGTTTATTATCTTTAACAATTGTGTGTGTGTGTGTGTGTGTGTGTGTAGTCTTTAGGGCTTTCTCTAGATAAGATCATGTCATCTATGAACAGAGATAATTTTACTTTTTCGTTTCCATTCTGGATGTCTTTTATTATTCATGCAATTTTAATGTGACCAAAACAGTGCTTCTTGATCTAGGGATTTTAGGATTTATAATTCCAGAGTTTCAGACCTACATTTCATGGTGCTGTCATTGAGCTGTGAAGTCTCTGTTACGGAGTATTTTTGTTCGTTAGCTCATCTGTTCCTTACGGTCTAGAAGCAACGCTACCTTCGTGTCTCCAGCCTTTGTCTTCTCCTATGGTTCGTACAGCCAGTCATCGCTCTAAAACATACCTCCTTTCTTGCACTCGTATGTTTTTTCAAAGGCCTGCTTGATGTCCAGTTCTGTCAGAGACAGATGAAGTTTCTGGCACACTCAAGGCCGGATGTGATCTGATTTAATCAGTTCCTCCACTCTCATCTGTCCCCTCCTCCCCTGGCCGTCGCTACTGCAGCCACTCTGGACCCCGCACGCGTTACTGAACACGGCTTGTGTTTTCACACTCCGGTTTCAGTCACACGCTTTCGTCTGCCTTAAATGGGCTCCTTCAAGTTTTTCCAGGTGAAAATGTACGCGTCCTGCAAGGTGAAGCCCAGCTGCTGTGTCCTGCGCAACTTCCTTTAACCTCGTGGGGAGTTGATGGCTCTCCTGGTCTGTGCTTTGCAAAACTAGCTTTATCACGAAGCCTGAATTCCCTAGAGAACCGGAGTTAATGTCTGGCTCTCCCCTCCTTGGAAACTGAGCTCCTGGAGCGGAGGCCCGCCGGGTCCCTGTGTGTCTCCAGGGAGGGCCCAGCTCAGTGCTCAGCGCACGTCGTGTGTTTGAAACATGTAAGGAACAGAGTTGTATCTGAATGTTCATTCTCCTGGCTGCTTTAGGGCATGTTTTATGACGTGCAGTTAGAGACTCGGTCTTTGCCTTTGTTTGCCTCTAAGCCAACAAATGACGGCTTATCAGAAGTGGATATAACCTTCCTGCTACCTTCTTTTCCATGATTTCTGGAATCAAGCACCAGATTTCTGTGGCAGCTAAGAACCCCCCCAAAAAGATGATTAACTTGGAGGCCTTGCCTGGTTTGCTCTTGTGTGAAAGAGGCCAAGACGTTGCCATTTATAATAATCGATGTGTTTTGCGCTAGCCAGCAGCGTGTCCTGGGACTAGGAGTAATCAAAAGAGCCATGTCCGTGGTTTTCAGTGTGCCTTTTTGGGTCTCTTATCCCCAACTGCTAAAGACTAACATAATGTAAGTGTAAATCATGAACTAAGGAATCACAAAGAGTAAATACAGTAACTCAGAACTGATGTGAGTCAACCAACCCAGGGAAGAACACAAAGACCTGTTGTCCACAGTGGTCCTTTAGTACGAGACTCACTGTGCACTGTCCTGATTAATGACATCTGAGTTAAGGGAGGGGTGGTTAGTCGGTCCATTCAGAGAACCAGGACTGTCGTAAAACCCCGCACACTTAGACAGCAAGGAGAGAGGCTTGTCTCATTTAGGGAAAAGTTAATTTAGACTGAGTACTTTAGGCATTTTGAATGAACTGCTAAGAAAGCATTACAAAGTATGGCGTGTTGGACTCCTGTCAGAGGTGAATTAGAACCATCACCTCTATGAGCTGTCCGATGAGATGAGTTCTTCTCAAAGGAAGGACATGTCATTCCTTGAGCAGTTCTTGTTCGCTCAGGGACATCTGTGGCTCTGCGTCAGGCATAGTGCCAGACCTCCAGCTTCCAAAGGTGAGCTGACGGAGAAAGACAGGCCTGCCCCAGGCAGACAGCCCTGCAGTGCCAAGGTTCAAACCACCTCCACATGTGCCCGGCCGGTGTGGCTCAGTGGTTGAGCATCGACCCCTGCACCAAGGGGTTGCGGGTTCGATTCCCGGTCAGGGCACATGGCCAGGTTGTGGCCCGATCCCCAGTGGGGGGCCTGTAGGAGGCGGTCCATCGATGTTCTCTGTCATCAATGTTTCTATCTCTCTCTCCCTCTTCTTTCCTCTCTCTAAAATCAATAAAGAAAAAAAAATTAATATAAAAGAAACTCCATCCAAAATATTCCTTCTCAGTTATTCTAGATTTGCTTGATGGCAGAATAATTAATTTCAGAAAATTCCCCGTCTCGTCCTGTGGCGGCCACAGGCCACAGGTTAGGCACTTTGATGGTCTGTTGTGGGGGAGCCGGGTTTTCCGGTTTTCTAGCGGTTCTTCTCCGTGCTGAGAGGCAGAGCCCACTGCCATCGCCGGGAATGCCCAGGCTGCGGCCGTGTCGGGCATCATAAGGCCTTTGTCACCAGCCCTCAATGCCTGTATTGATGTCCGTCCCGCTTTAGATTTCATTTGCATTGATTTCATAGGCGCCCCCACCCCCATAGCTGGCATTAGATAATTGCGTGTCGCTTCACAATAAATCCATGTTCACATTCCTGGTTTCCAAGAGTGTAAAGGACTAAAGATAGTTACCAAGGAAAGTGAAAAATAGCTTTCTCTTTGCCAGAAGACCGTTGATTCTCGGCTGCTTTTCATTAATAGTAAACTTCTGTTGTGAGTGTTCGAGTCGTTAAACAACTGAGTTTCTGGTTGAGCCCTTAAAACTTCATTCCTTGTTGAACGTCTGAACGTGTATTTTAATAGTTTTTTCATTCCATTTTGGTGAATTGTGTTTTCATGTGCCTCCTGCAGGGGCAAGGTTGAGAGTTCTCATTTTAAGCTATCAACTGTGTTCCTTGCGGTTCAGTTCCGCTTCTGGTTAAGAAAATTCTTAGAGAAATTACGCTCTCCATCTTTGGGGTTTCTACTTTTTTATTTTTTCCTCAAGGCATACATTTTAGTAAATGAGTTTTTATGTTTCTACAAGTAGGTACTTCAGAGTGGGTGACCTGTGCCTGGTGCTTAAACATTAATGAAAAGGCCGGGAAGGAGCATCTTTCCCAACGATGGCAACTTGATGATTCGATGCTGATGCTGTTCAAATTCCCTTGTACGATACATAACGCATAAAGAAAGAAATGAAAGTGACAGTAAGGCCAGCAAAGCACCAGTGCTGTTAGAGCCCACGACAGACACCACTTGGTCCCTTCCGTGGCGCCACTCTATCCAGAACATGTCCCGGAAAGAGCCGGCATTGTGTTTGTGCGTCTGGAGCTCCTCACCAGGGTGAAGCAACGACAGGGACATGGTTTGTGGCTGAGTTGTTTTGAAAAGCGAGTCATTTCATAACTGATCGCTTTTCCATTTGGGGAAATTCAGAGTGGAAAAAGGTCCGGGCAGAGAATGCTCTATAGTGTCCTCACTGCGTTGTGACAATAACACTGCATGTCCACGTGGGCGCCTCTTTGCAGGCTTTCATTCCAACTCTAAGTATATCTTTGCCACTGACCTGGTTTGGGATGTAGGGGAGCCATGGGATGGAACTGTGTTTAAAACTGGGGGTAACAGAGAGACAGAGCACCGGGTAGTCACTCTCTCCACTTTTCACAAAAGACTATTTTAAGTGTTTCCTTGATTGAGGACTTCCAAGCTCTCAACAAAAATATCCCCCTATTATGAGATGTTTTGGGTGGCATAATGGAAGACTGTGAAATCTTTTGGGGGCTTTCTAAAATTATAAACCGTGAACTCGTGTCTTGCCAGCAGACAGACTTGACTTAGGCTGTGGAGTCGTTGCCCCTGCGTCGGCGGCCGTGTCTTAAGCCAGAGGCGCAGGTGCAGCATTTTGGTCGGCAAGGCCGGAGCCTTGGTCTCATCCA